AATGATGTCACTCTTAAAGGCTATCAGGTTCAGCCAGACCTCTATGACATACTCTGTCGTTTTCGCTCTTTCAAATATGTGCTCACCTCTGATATACAGAAAATGTATAGACAAATTCTGATAAATCCAGAACAAAGATACCTCTTGAACATTTTATGGAGGAATAGTCCTCAGGAAACTCTGAAATGTTTTGAACTCTCAACTGTCGCCTATGGCACTAATTGTGCCCCTTTTCTTGCAACAAGAGTTTTGCATGAAATAGCTCAAAATAATGTCATTCAAAATTCTCTAGCTTCTGAAGCTCTCTTGAAAATGACCTATGTAGATGATTGTCTTGGAGGTGTTGATAATTACTCAGACTTGGAAACTCTATATACTCAATTAAATACTCTTTTAAATACTCATGGTTTTCAGTTACACAAATGGTGTTCAAATTCAAGCAATTTTTTTGACAAAATTTCCCAAGAGAAAATTCCTGAACGAAATCTTAATTTTGATGATTTTCCAAGTAAAGTTTTAGGATTGAAATGGAACCCCTTTGCTGATTTTTTCTGTGTCTCAATCCCTGAAAGTTCCTTCACACCGCCAATCACAAAAAGAAAAATATTATCTACTTTGGCTCAGTGCTATGACCCCCTTGGTTTTTTATCATTGGTTATAGTTTCTGGGAAATTGATTATTCAGAAGCTCTGGATGTTGAAACTAGATTGGGATAGTCCCATTACTGACATGTCAATTATACAAAATTGGACTCATTTTATTGAAAATTTACCTCTGCTCAAAAATCTGAAAATACCCAGATATTTATTTTTGGAAAAGAAAATTAAACAAATTGAATTTCATGGTTTTTCAGACGCAAGTATGCAAGCCTATGCAGCATGTGTTTACATTAGAGTAATATACATAGATAGTGCTGTATCTTGCACCCTTCTCTCTTCAAAATCTAGGATTGCCCCTATCAAAACTGTCTCTCTTCCACGTTTGGAGTTATGTGCTATGCTGTTGCTCTCCCAATTGGTTAGAAAACTACTATCAGTTTTCGATGGTCGTTTTAAGGTTGATTCTGTAAATCTTTGGTCTGACTCACAAGTAGCTCTATGCTGGGTGAATTCTCATGCTTCTCGTTGGAATGTATTTGTTGCTAACCGTGTAGCACAAATACAAGATCTTACAAAGGAATGTATTTGGAGACATGTCAAATCCGCTGACAACCCAGCTGATTTGCCCTCTCGTGGTGTCCCAATACAGGATGTTATCAATTTAGACTTATGGTGGAAAGGCCCCTCTTTCTTGCTTGATATGAAGTTAAGACTCTCAGAAAAATCGTTTGGAAATGTTTCGAAAATCGATGACCTCCCTGAACAAAAGAAAAAACCTACTGTCACTTTGCATGTGTTCTTCCAGAATGATTTCTGGTCAAAATTATTTCTCAAATTTTCACAATTTTCAAAATTACAACGTCACGTTTCATTTATATTAAGATTTGTTCACAATGTTGGAAACAAAGATAATAAAATCGTTGGTCCTCTTGAAGTCAATGAATTGAGGAAAGCAAAAGATTTGATAGTTAAAGTTCTTCAATCACTCCACTTCTCAAAAGAAATTCAAGACCTCAGTAAAGGTAAAGCTCTTTCCAATAAACAGTTGGCCCAGCTCAAGCCCTTCCTTGATATGGATGGTATTGTACGAGTAGGTGGTAGACTTGAGAATGCCAACATATCTTTTGATCAGAAACACCCTATTCTTTTGCCCTCTAGAAATTATATCGTCTCTTTGATGTTAAAATTAGAACACCTACGGTTAGGACATTCAGGAGCTCAAACTGTTTTGTCTAATTTCAGATTAAAGTTTTGGCCTTTAAATGGTTTACGGGAAGTCAAAAGGATTATTAGGAATTGTCATATTTGTTTCAAGTTCAGAGCTCAACCCACAACTCAGATAATGGGAGATTTGCCCAAGGAAAGAGTCCAGGAAACCAGGTGTTTCAATAGAGTTGGTATAGACTATGGAGGCCCCTTCCTTTTAAAATCTTCAAACTTACGTAAAGCCCCGATTATCAAGGCCTATATAGCAGTGTTTGTGTGCATGATCACAAAGGCTGTGCATTTAGAGTTGGTAACCAGCTTATCAACAGAAGCTTTTATTATGACCCTCAAAAGATTTATTGCTCGCAGAGGAAATCCTGAATTAATTTATAGTGACAACGCAACTAATTTTGTTGGTGCAAGAAACCAGCTAAGGGAGTTGTATGATTTTTTCAAAACCAAGAGTGTCTTAGATTCTATAAAAGATTTTTCTGCTCAAAATGAAATCAAATTTAAGTTTATTCCTCCAAGAAGCCCCCATTGGGGTGGTATTTGGGAGGCTGCTGTGAAAAGCACCAAATACCATCTTCATCGTTTAGTTGGAGAAGCTCGCCTTACTTTTGAGCAATTCTACACCATATTAACGTCAATCGAAGCCATTTTAAATTCACGGCCTCTCTGCCCTCTCTCTAATGACCCCAATGATTTCCAGGCTCTTACTCCTGGTCATTTTTTGATTGGAACTAGTTTGACTGCTCATCCTGAAAGAAATTTAGAAAGTACTCCTGAAAACAGACTCTCCCACTGGCAAAGAATTGTCCAAATTCAGCAAGTTTTCTGGAAAAGGTGGAGAGTTGATTATCTGAATCGACTCCAACACCGACCCAAGTGGTTTCGAGAGTCTGAAAATCTGAAACCAGGCTCAATAGTTCTTCTGAGAGATGATGATACCCCTCCTTTAAAATGGCCTCTAGCTAGAGTGTTGGAAGTTATCCCTGGTAAAGACAATAAAGTACGAGTTGTTAAACTTAAAACCCAAGATGGGATATATACTCGTAGCATTGCAAAGGTTTGTCCTTTACCCCAAGAGGATCCCCCTGAAATGAAATTTGAATGTCATAATCTGACCCTGCCTTAAATATGTTATTTTTTATATATCTACTTGCTTATAGTTTGTAAAGAATTAGTTCTTGTTCTTATGTAGTTTGTTTTTATATCATATGGCTGATATGGTTCTGAGTTCTGATGAGTCTGATGTTATCATCATCGAATGTTGTTCTTGTTGAATTTTTGAATTGTTGAAGTTGGTGACTTCAAAGTGCGGGAGTATGTTGCGGAAACATCCGCAACTATTTTGAAATATTTGAAAAAGAAGATGCCATTGCATAATTTTCTTTCCTAATAATAGAGGGCGTTCACGTTTGTATTTTCATTACGTTCTTTGCATTCTGTCACGAAAAAACAAGCATGGCGTGGATGGTCATGCTGGTGTTTTTCGGTGATTTTTTTGTTTTTCTAGTTACTATAGCCCGTTGTTGATTCGTTGTTAACCAGAGTATAAAAATTAATAAAAAAAAAGTAAGAAGTTTTTGAAAAAGCACCCAACGCTTTCACTGAAGGCGAAAGCTGCGCAAAATGCATACCACCCAATTGGCCCTAATTGCACGAAGAATTACCCCATGATTGAAAAGAGCACTGTTTTGTGAAGTTTCCCAGTATCGCCTTCCAACCTCAACCTAAATTCCCATTGCATACAGAAAGCGAAATATTTGCAGCGTGCAACATGTTAAAAAGTTAAGAAGTTAGGATTAATTCTATTGATATTTGTCAATTTCAGAATTAATTCTTTTGATATTTATCAATATTATAATAAATAACAATTTTATTTGAAGTTTTGTATAAATGCAAAAGTATGTTTATTTTTCTCCAAGAAGCCATTTATTAAATTGAACAAAGCCACATATGGAGTCCTCTGCTGGATTGAAAACCAAATAGGTAAGATCCACCCTAGCTTTGGATTGACAATTCTCAAGAAAAGATTGTTCCATTCAAAACAAAAGGCTTACAGATCAATTTGTATAGGGTTGAAAGAACAATTATCATAATTTTCCTAATTTGAGGTGTATGTTTCCTTCGACCCCTGTATAATATAAACAGGGCCATCTGCAAAAAAAGCAAGGAAGTCGTGGAATCTCTAAAAAAATGGGCTTTCGAAACCTGCAAAGCTTTTCGAAATCAATACAACCGTTTTCAAGATAAAGCCCTTTAAGCATTGTGCTTACAAGATTTTGCCAACTTTGTTGTTTGATATTGTATCTGTTGCCAAAGGGCACTTATCAAAAAACTGGTCAATACGTCTGGAGATATTGATATAACCTCACTTAAGGCCTATACGGAAATCCGAAAAAAATTTTTTTACCAATATGGCAGACATCCATACGTTTTGTACTTTTGCATCAATTTATTATTCACCCTGTATAATTCGGAAAATACATTTCTTTCTTTTCTTCTCCCACGTGATCTACAACATGGACTATCGAACACCACAAACCGCATTAAAATCAAAAATAAAATAAAAAAGTTATTACAAATTGAATATGGTGCTAAAAATTGCTTGTCCCGTTTTTTTTTGGCGAGCAGTTTAGTTGTTATTTAATAAATAGAATAAATATTATCTATAAACATGACAACAGCGCAAATCATTGAATTATAATCATGCTAAAGCGATACATAGGCAATAACCATAAAATTTTCATTAATCATTAATTAATGAAGGCAAACTATCAAAAAGGGGTCATTTACTAAAATTGGCTCCGGACAAAAAAAAATATTAAAACAATGAAAAACAATGTATGTATTTTCAGAAAGGAGAGTTAACAGGTTTTCATATAAAATTAAAAAGTACAGGGTGTTCCATTTAGAATTTTTTCGAAATCGGCCTTCGAAAATCATAAATTTTTTTCCTCCTATTTCAGGTAAATTTTGAAACTTGGCAACACCGTTAAAAAAAACTTTATAAAAATTGATGAAGTTCTGTGAAAACCGCATATCGATATCTTTTTGCTTGTAGTGTACACGGCCGATCTAAGCAAATTAGTTTGCACGGTTTGATTTCGAGACCGTTCCGAAATATTTGCAGCAAGTTTTGGAAGGACGTGTTTTCAAGTGTAGGTTTTTATATACCTATTTACAAAAATGGAGAAACGTGTTTGGAATAGGGAAGAAGCTACCATGTTGATAGAAAATTTTGAACTGTATCCTGAATTATGGGAAGTACATTGTAAAGATTTTAAGAATAGGGTGATGAAGCAAGCCGCTCTAGAAAAATTAACAGGACTATTCGAGACATCTGAAAATAAAATTCAACGCAAGTTACACAATTTAAGAACGCAAATGAATCAAGAGTGGAGGAAAATTCAGAAGAGGAAGAGTGGAAAAGGAACAAATGAAACATACAAGAGCACATGGGAGTTTTTTGATTCTTTGAAATTTATAATAACTGCAAACGCTCAAAGTTCTACACAGGATAATCTGGTAAGTTTAAGAATAATTTTTATTACGCAAAAATATTTTTAACGAGGACAACTTAATACTGTTATTAAAGTCATAAACATTCTATTCCTATCATATTTTATGTAAATTTGTATTGCCATGGTAGTTCACCTTGGGGGAAACAATTGGAAGATCTCCATCGCGCCAGTTACCATTTATAATATTTCCATTATTTTTTATATCGAACGTACCTCTTGGTGCATATATTGCTTTGAACGAATTTGGGGTTAATAAAAAATTATGAAGGACACATATAGCCATTAGAATTTTGGTAACTTTTTTGTGGCAATTTTGCATAGGTTTTCTTATTACCCGAAAACGATTTGCTATAGTTCCAAATACATTTCCAATTATCCTTCTTGCACGTGACAGCCGGTAATTGAAAACACGATTTGGCCCTGGCTGATTTTTGAATGGATATGGCTTGAGCAAGTATGTTTTCAATGCAAATATGTCATCTGCTACGATAACATTCGGTGATCAGGTTCCTCTTTCTGTAGCTGCCGTGTAGCAGGCAAGTTTAAATTATTATTTTCCAAAGCTGTTGACAGAGAACACATATTATAGACACCACCGGCTGATACTCTTCCATTGCAGCCAATATCCACATAAGTTAATCTATAATTTGCATCAGCCAAAGCCATTAAAACTATGCTGTGTGTTCCCTTATAGTTGTAATAATAGCTCGCAGGAGCTTGCATAACGACATGTTTCCCGTCGAGGGCTCCTACATATTTTGGAAAATTCCAAATATTTTCATAATCTTCAGCAATTTTAATTTAATGTGTTTTTTTTTCAGACCCAAAGAGAAGTGGTTTTAGAAGTAGATAGGCCAAATTTAACAATAAATGAGGGGGAAACAAGTGAAGAAGAAACCAAACGTGATTCTTCTAAAAAAGGCACAAAAAGGATTTGTAAACCAACAGAAGAGGATACCGTTTTCGCTAAAGCTATGAAAGTGATGGACCGGCCCTTAGATAATTTCCAGATCTTTGGAGATTATGTTGCATCAGAGCTTCGACCCTTACATTCTGAGCAGCTCCAAAATTAGTGATTCCCACGAGACCAACGAGACGAGACTTTCATAAAGTCTTGTCTCGTCTCGCCGATGAAAAAGAAGTCTGGTCTCGAGTCTTGTCCTGCAGCCTCGAGTCTCGTCTCGTCTCGCGACTCGTACGAGAGTCTCGCGAGAGCCTCGCAATAATTTATCGAAATCTCTTCATGGACTCTTGTTCCAGTTTAGAGTCTAGTACAGGATACTACCTATTTGCTATAATGTAAAATTAGAAAAAGAAAATTACAACTGTTGAAAAATAACAAAATTCAAGTTTATATCCTTTTTTTCCAATGCCCAGTCGCATGAAAACTCGTACCGTACCTAAACCCTAGCGCAAGAAGCAGGCGAGTGGCGACGCGCTGATGCAGGCGCAGCAGTGCAGGTACAGTGTGGTAGGCGCGCGAAGTGTAGGAAATTAGCACTTTCAATTTGACCTAATAGATCCTGAGATAGGGACTGTCTTGTGGAGTAATTTTTTTTTTGTCTGGCATTATGAATTATGAGAGGTGAATGTGGCTAGTTAGCTGATGAGAAATACAAAAGAAAAAGCGAAATTGGAAGAACGTGTAAAAAAAATATGTAATTATAAAATATTACATATGAAAATATAAAATAAAAAATATCGTGTAAAAATTTCAAATATTCGCCCACCGTTATACACGCCAGTGCCAAGAGCGTTCTGGGGAAGGGGTAGGCAATAAACTGGGGTAGGCGGATAATGGGTTCGCGATAGTCCAGCTACTGTATACCTGTATTTATATTATATATGTTTACGGCCGCAGAAATATTCATCTGCAGGCAGCGGCCTGAACAACCATTTTCTGCTTGACTCCCTAAATTATCTTATCTTATCTTACCTTAAATATCTTAACTAAAGGGTGTAATTTTTTTAATAGAAATCCAGACAGGTCAAAAGTTCAGTTTAAAAGTTTTAATTAAAACATCTCAAAAATTTTGACACGTTCTGGATTTGATTAATTTCAACCCTAGGTTTATCTAGTATCTGTGGTAGCTAACTTAATTCGAGGGGAGAATTTTGTCTATTTGGGGAGGAATCCAGACATTTGATATCTTAATTTTTTTACTTACCTTATTTTTGCTCATATTTTTTCTTGTATTTTTACCTGCCAGAGCTGTTTTTCAAGGAAGCTGCATTTTGCTTAATTATTGTAACGAGCTTTCTAATTTATTATTGTTATTACCTTATTTTTTTTCTATTATCTTATCATTGATTTTAATTATTTAAGTACCTAATTGTTTTTTTAATAAAATATTTTTTTTAACTTGCAATAACTGTTCATACCTGATTCTGTTGGAAGGAAGTGTCTGTATAACAATCACTTTATACTGAATTTCAATTTCAATGTCCTTTGCAAGACACTCACTCTTTCGACAGAATTCAGGGATTTAATATTCCAAATATTGGTGAACCTGATGCTGCCTTATTCTTTTCTGGGTACCTACTCTACCTAAAGATCACTGTTTGTAGTCTGGATCAGCTGAAGTGACGTCACCTTAGCAATCTACCCTCTTCCTGGAAACAGGAAACAACACCAAGAGCTCCAGTTCACGAAAGTGAAACCAACACCCATTGAACAGCTCTAGATTGGAAAGGTACATACTAGGTATCAGATTCACCAGAACAACCAAGCTGTCAGCAGTGACATTTTACATAACATTGTCTGTACACTAAATAAAATTATTGTTTGTTGGATTTTTGAGTGGTTTCATTTGCATATAAAGGGACTACACGTTATCTAAATTTTTCTTTGAATTCACGACCCTAGGTTATCTTTTCCTTAAAGTATACAAATAATCTAAGTTAATTTGTAACAAGTCTTCCGCCGACAATCGTAAAAAAAAATTTCAACTGCAGTGGATCTTCACTTCTCAACTCAGCGAGTAGCTTCTCGTGAATGCCTAAAGAAGATCTACGCTGAATCCAGTTTCTTGCCCACATTTTCCTTCACTTTTTGACATTTTCCTTTTCTTTAATTTGATTTTTCAATTTGATATATATAACAACTGTAGCAGCAACAGCGGCAATTTGCCGGGATGACATTGTGTGTACACGTTTCAGTAAAGAAATAGGCAAACGGGCTTGCTATAGTAACTTGCCAGAAGAAAAATTGGAAACAATTATAATACAGTGTAGGCACACCAGCAAGCACTTGCTGAAAAAACTATCGCAAGTTACTTGCAAGTGGACATGAGCCTTTAGAGATAATGATTTAATTGTTATATAATTTTGAAATAGTAGTCCATGTCTCACAGTGAAGAGAATAGTTAAAGAACTGGAGTAAAACACACAGTCTATCTTCACTCTTTATTTTACAAAAATAATCAGTTGGAAGGGGGGTTGTACATGTTTCGGATCTATCATAGATCCATCATCAGCATAAGTTCTACAAGTTACAAAAATATGGGAGTTATGGCGAGGGGCTGGGGTGTATACATCAAGAGGGAGCTACTTGGTTTGATTTCTGGAATTGTCAGGTTTTTTATGCAGCAAATTTTACTAATTTCCTGCCACCATCTTCTTCCTCATCTCCATTACATTCTTACTCCTCGTGCAGACAGCACGATTTTTCATTAAGTAAATTTTTGAAATTTGATTAACAACTAAAAGCTAACACCCACTAACATCCAGAAGTACAGATGAGCGTCCAGAATTCCGCCTCCTATAGGCATATTCTGTGTTTGTGTGGCAGTCCTATTTTTCTAATGTTAATAAAATAATTTTTTCAATCTTCACCTTTGGTAAGTTGAAACTTTGACGTAATTTTTGAAATCGTACTCACAAGCTTCCTCTATTCCAGTTTTGTAAATATGTTCTGTGTTGGATGCGGCTTTAGCCACCAACTTTATGCTGATAACAGCATGAACACTTATATTTTTATGTATAATTATTATACTTAGGCATGTCGTATATGACCATATTTTCCCTGTGCCATTTGGTAAGTTTTTGATGTATACACCCCAGCCCCTCGCCATAACTCCCATATTTTTGTAACTTGTAGAACTTATGCTGATGATGGATCTATGATAGATCCGAAACATGTACAACCCCCCTTCCAACTGATTATTTTTGTAAAATAAAGAGTGAAGATAGACTGTGTGTTTTACTCCAGTTCTGTTATATAATTGTTCATTTAGTAATTAGTTTATATTCATGTGTACTACACTATATCTTTTACTCTCAGTGTCAAGGGCTGATTTCACTGAAAGGTGAGTTCACTGAGAAAGTATAATTTATTATTCAAAGTAGCCTAGTGGGCTTTGCTTTGTATTCTTATTATTTTATTTTACGTAACTATTATAGTTACCAAAAATTTATAAATTAAAAACGAAGCGAAGAAGCGAAAAACTCTGTTCAAAAAGCAATCTGTTCTCAAATCTAAAATTCCGATACACAAAAAAAAAAAAAACTATACACCCAGAAACTAGCCAACGATAAATTTATTTTTACTCCTTCATTTGCTTGGTCGAGTGACACAAACAGGCGCTTAGCCGCTCTCCAACTTCAAGCGAATGTCCGGAACTGGAGGACCTTATTAAAATTCCGACTTAGGTACACTGCTGGCCTAAGCTTCAAAATAATAAAGCAGTTACTCGCTTTACACTGCATTTTTATTAAATTATGCTTTAGCTGCAGCTTTCTTTTTTTTTGGAACGAATTGTTTGAAAACAAGTGGAATTATATGAGCAGTGAAAAGTTGTGCCTTGATATGTTTAAAAAGTTTATTAATGTGCATTTTTGAGATCTATTTCCAATTTAAATTTTTCGCAATTATAGAAAATCTTTGAGTGCATCGAACTTTCATATCGCAGAAACTTTGGAAAACGCGGAATAAATTTAAATTTATTAGTAACCGCTTTTATAACGTTCTCCGTTCAGAAAATTTTTCATTCGGAGAGTGCTCTC